CGGCGTTGCGGGGTCAGCCCGAGGGGGAGGAGGGCACGGTAAGCGGGCCGGCCGGCCCCGGGCGGCTCTGTGAGGGCCGGGGCTCCTGCCAGGGGCAGCGGTCCCAGACCCCGGTTCTCCTCGTTGAATTAACGTCTCTCCCGAAGCTGGTTTTGCGGGGGTTTCTGACTTGGTTTTAAAGGAGCTGCCTAGAATTAACTCTTTCTGTTTTCTTTTCTTGACAGTTTTTGGCTGCTGTGTTGCCTGCAAGAGCCAAAGCTCTCTGAAGTTTTTAACACTACCCATCTCGTTGAAGTTTCCTCGGAAGCGGTGCTGATCGTGTTAGCTTGCTGTCTGTGCTGCTGAAATAATGTAGTGGAAATGATAGCCGAGCCCAACACAGCCAGCAACCTTCCCAGCCAAAAGTAAGACCTGGCGCAGGTTGTCTGTCAAATTTGTTGGTAAATCAGGGCGCTGGCCCTTGAATTTGTGCCTGGTGGATAGTGGAGCAGCCTACAATGTGTCATTTTGGGTGGGAGGGAAGTAAAAAGGGATTTGCTATACACAATGTCTTGTTACTAATGTCTCCGTTTTATTCCCTTTTATGTGTATTGTTTAGCATCTTCTTAACGTAGTGTTTTATGCCCATTGACAGGGACCGTGGCCTTACAGGCCTTATTCAGTACAGTGCAAATGAACCTACTTTGAAAAAAAAAATGGGCAGATTCATAGTCAACGCATGTGTTCACTTCAGTGGTGAATTTGGGGAGGCTTGAAGGGGAAGAGTGCTAAGTAATTTGTAGTCTCCCTGTTGGCATTGAAGGGGGCATGGCTTCTCCATAGGTGTTTTTATCAGGGATACGCCAAGTCTTCTCCCTTTCAGAATGTATTTTTTCAGTCATCAGTTGAGATGATCTGTAAACCAAATGTATTCATATCATTGCTTACAGAATGGTATTTAGAACTTCTACTAGACCAGATATAAATAAATAAAACATAAAGTTAAAGCATTTGGACATATCTTGTCTGATTTCAAAGAGTGAAGCTTCTTATATGTCCGGTGTTGCATGCTTTGAACTCATTGCAGCCCAGTCTTTGTGGATCCTGTCACCTTCTGAGCAAGTCTGCTCCAGGTCTTTTGCTTCATTAAGCTCTGATGAAAGCTGAGACATGTATTCCTCATAGTCCATGATGACAATTAATATAGCTTCCCATATGTGCTTTCCAGTATGTTTCATCTGAATCCAGCCTCTTAGTCTCAGAAGTGTCAGGAAGGCACCTGGCAGTTGTTTATCTGAGCTTCTTATGTTGCTTCTAAAAGATGAAGCAGTTGTATTGAAATTTATAATTTTAAAAATCTACAGGTAGGATTCTTCCAGTAACATAGATTAATTGTTCCTTTTATACAGCCAAAGGAATGTGTTATCTCTTTGTTAAAGAGTGTGAGTCACTAAATTTGCTCTAAATGTTTATTAAGATGAGAAAACGGAATTCAGAAATTCTCACGATAGCATTGTGTTTGAGGACTAGACAAAGAACTTTGCTTCCTTCCTACTTCAAGTGTTTTTATCTCATGAGTAATACTTCAGGTGCTAGTGAAAGGACAATATTGTGGCAGGAATGTGAGGTAAAAATGCATCTATGAGCCATATGTAACGGGGTATAAAGGTGAAAATTAGGATGAGATAGGAATGGAATTCTGCCTATGCTTCCTTACTGATTGCTGATGGAAACAAAGTAAACAGCTGAGAACTGTTTCTTACCAGGGCATGAAGCAGTGAATTTAGGTATACAAAAATGCTCAGTATGGTGTAGACTAACAGAGGAGAGCAAAAAAAAACCACTAGTTAAGAATTTGTCAAACCTACTGTTGCACTCCTATAGTTGAAAAGATGTTAAATGGAGTTGTGTATAGGGATCGCTGCAGAAGTGATCACATCATCCTCAATTAGGTACAGCGATTCCTATTTTGCTCAAGAAGATAAGAGGATGTTTTCATTCTTTTAACAGTTTCTTCAACAGTAACTTAGTCATGCCAATAAAAACTCCATTAAAATTTCTCATTTAATTTCTAAGTGGTTTCATGGGGTTCAGTTTCTAGGCTCTGGTCTAGTTCCTGCAAATATTTAAGTACCTGCCTTATGAATAGCCTTACTGGAAATATCAGTATTAAAAGAAAAAAAAAAGAGAAAGGAGAAACATAAGTATTGATAGTATCTGGATTTAAAAAAACCTCTGCTTTTGGGTAGTTTGTGTATTGTAGCACAGTGCTTCCTGTGGCATTGGTATGTGCTGTGGTGTGCTGATAACCAAAACAATTCAGAAACTAAATGGCTTTTTAGTATTAGTGCTTAGTTACATTTTTTGTAAGACTGATGTTTAGTGCATGTGTGAAAGTTACTCTTACTGGTTTCGTCATGGAGATGTTGTTTTACTTGTTGTTGTTAGCCCAACATGAGGAAGCTGTAGATCAACAGTCTTCTCATTCTTGCAGGTTTTGCTGAGCTTTGGTAAGCACACTGTTCCATGTACCAGGCATTCACTTACTTTATTGAGCCCCTTTTGCTACAGGTACATTTTGCCTGGCGTAGGCTGACAAAGTAAGTAGCACAGGGCCAGTAGATACCATGTGTAGTGCCATCCTTCAGGATGTTCTTGGGAAAGAGACGCATGAGTTAAAGCTTCAAAGAAGTATATTCTAGACAGAGGTATTAAAAGCAGTACCTGATCAGACAAGTACCTGACTGAACTGTCCTGCAGCAGTTCTGATTTTTTTGTTATTTAAATGTTTTAATTCAATTTGGGCTCAATTATACTTGCTGTAATCAAATGAAATACATTTATTTTCATTATGGGATGGAATGAGTTGCTAAATAGTACATGCAACAATTCAGGAAAATTGTTTGAGAGTGTATTGAGCGTTATGTTGAGGTGTAATGCAGAAACAGGTAACACATGTTACCATGATGTTGGCTGGCATCTGAGTTGTAGTTTTAGTGAAACAGTGCAAGTAAAAACATGTTAGTCCAGACCCATAATGTTGCATTCTGCTTTGAAATCAAGAGCGAAAGGATTTACTCCTTGACAAACAGGTTTGGATTCTTTTTGTTTATTTGTGGTCTGTAGAAGAGGGAAGAGGTAACTGGCATCAGAAAAGCAATACATCTTGCTATCTCTTACTGCTTGTTCTTTTCAACTATGAAGTCTCTGGTGGTGCTTGAGATACTTAATCTCTGTGGCTCGCAATTACAAATCAAAGAAAACACTTGCAAGTTTCTGCAAACTACTGCTTATAGCGTGCTGACTCAGTTGCGATCTATAGTTCATCCCTCTTTTCTCTAACATGCAGGAGTCCAGACAACTGATGTAAGGATTGGTTCATCCTGAATTATTTTCTCAGCTTTCATCTGTCAAATGCTGTGGCACATTTTGAACTTTTCTATGACAAGACATTAATTGAATTTAACTTTCATGGGACTTTTCTCTGTAGGGATGTTAAGAATTTGCATAATTGTATTTAGAAATTTTATGTATTTTTATAGAATTTCTATAGGAGTCTTTGGAAGCCTAATTCTACATCACTTATGGTGAAATGTCCCAGTAGATTCAAAAAGAAAACATAGATGAATTTAAATAAAAACAACTGTCTGCTCTCACTAATGAAATCAGGACCTTGGTCCTGCAGTTGATGCTATTCAGCCTCAGGATTTGCTTTGCAGAGGCAATGTCTGACTGAAACACTCTTGGGAAGAAGAACAACAGTGCTTATCTGGCATTGATAAACCTAGCTGGAGTCAAGCTGGCTCTGCATCCATAGCACAGTTAATTCTACATCTAGGTTAGCCAACACTGGATATTGGAGAGTTGACTATATCTGACAGTGTAATACACTGTTTTTTTTTCCTTTGTGAAGTGGTCACTTGTGTTAGTACACTCTCTTGTTGCAGCAGTATCATGAAAATTAAAGTTACTGTACACTCTCATATGTACTTTCTTTTTGTGCCTTCTTATAGTACAAGTCAACTGGCTTCACGTCCTGGCCACTGTAGTTTAAAAGGAGGCCATAGCAGCCAGCTACCAGTACTGGACCTGCTGCACAAGTGGGATCCAGCTCGTCTGCTCAAACATGACCTTTGGCAAAGCATATTGTTAGCATTGGGAATGATGAAAAGTGGCATGATTTCATTGCAGATAAATGTATGGCTTCAGATCTCCCAGAAGGTTCATCTTTATTTATAAAATTATTCCTCCATCATATTAGCAACGACCTGCAAATGAAATTTCTTACATGTCTTTTTTTCTTCAGCATGTTTTATAGACAAAGCAAAACAGTTTCTTCTTCTCATTTTAAATTGTCAATTGACTCATCACCCTGTTTTGTGTAGAGCACCCACGAAGCAAATGCATACTTGTGTTATTGATTCATGGTCCAAAGCACTTAAGTCAACAAAGGCTGCCTTAAGTCAACATCAGGTGTTTCATTTAGTTACTTCCTACTTCCTTCATATCTTTGATAGTTTTGCTAGTTTTCTGATTATCTGCATATATTACAGGAAAGCCAATAGTTTGAAAAAGGCCCCAAATTTCTGTTGTACTTTTAAAGTTAGCCGTTTGGGTTTTAGTAACAAAATGACATAACTTCCAAACGATTCATTAAGAATATTAAAATACATATATATGCTTTTATTTTCTTCTGTTGTTTGTACTGAAGTGTGTAGTTCTATGTTCTTACTGCTAACCCCTTCAACGTGTTTGTTACACTTCAGAGAGAATGCTGTCCATGATGAGACTGTGCCTGAGTCTGCTGTGCAGAATGGCAGCTGTGTGAGAAATGGCAACCTGAAAACACCAGTAAGTTGATTTTTAAATTTTTAAAATTTTTTTATTGTGGAATTTATTTTCTGTCTCATTCAATTGTTACAAAATTGAGTATTACATAAAACAATCACAATACATCTAAAATCTAGTCACCGGATACAGCTTGACCCCCAAATTCCATTGGCGTCAGAGCCTCAATGCTGGCTTTTGAACAGTCAGTTCATTTCAGTGTGTGTCCTTAGCTGTGCATTGTGTGCAGCTGATGTTAATTCGCAGATTGTGTGTTTACCCTGTGAGTGAAAAGATGTAGAAGAACTTCGGTGCTTGCTGTCTATTCTTCAGAAATTACAGCTACCACTGAAAAATGCCTTCCAGGTAGCACACAACTGTTCAGAAGCTTCTTTCCTGTTATACCTTCCTATGCTTTTGACTCATTGTTGAGAAAAAATTCAAACTGGTAAATCCTTTCTTTCACCCCCTTCTAGTAT